CGTCGGTCAAACCAACGATTCTCTTCTCAAAGTAATAGAGAGAGTCTTTTTCTTTTTCCGGTATGTAGCTCCGCGAGCTAGGAGCGCATCATCGGGGMAGGGCGAAAACGAACATAGGATCATCATCATGGCCCTCTTCTTGTTTCTTTTGTTTGTGTCCGGTCCGTTGTGTGTGTGTGTGTTTTTTTTAAGGCTAAACAGTAGGGGTACTCTAAGACAATAGTTAAATAGTAAGGATACAATTTATCAATTAGCTAAACAGTAGGGGTAGTTTAAGAAATTTACCCTTAAATTAATTACATATACCTTCCATAATTAAAGACAAAATTTATTAATGAAGTAAGTTTTTTTTTTTTTTTTTTTTTTTTCTTTTTAATAATGTCTTCTCAATGTCATAGTCCAGCCTATATATTAATAGTGCAACCTAGGCATGACCGACCCAACTCCAACATGACCAACCTGAATATTTGCATAGTCATAGTTTCATAGGCTATAGGCCTGACCTAAACTTAGACTGGGTTTGGGTTGAGGTCTTAAGTAGCCTAAGCTTGATCTAAGCCTAGTCCAACCCAATCCAAGTTTGTTTGAATAATACATATATGTATTATGTTTATATAGAATATATATTTTTCTAATTATGTAAATATGTATATTTGTATAAAATATGTCTATGTACATTGTAAGTGTTTGTTTACATATTTAATATTTTCAATTAATTCTACTATTAAGTTGGGTTATAAAGCCCATTAAAAGATGGTTGTATCAAAATATACATAAATTCTTTCGAATCCGACCAACTTGCTCAAGCCCTATTAGCCAATCTTGGTTCGAGTTTACCCAACTTGAGCTATGTTGGGTTAAACTTGGATTAGGCCAAGGTTGACAAACTTGACTTAACCTCGAGTTGGGCCAGGCTTGAACATCTAGGATAGGGCTTGGGTTAACCTTCAACCCGACCCAAGTCGCTTGAGTTGCACACTACCATATAGGCATATACTGTATAGGCCAAGCTGGGCCCAGTCCAGGCTTAAAGTATTGGACCCAAACACGATCTAGAATTAGAAATTTTTGGGCCAGACCGGTCCGGCCAGGTTGGAACTGATCACCCCTACTAAACCCTACCTCTAAAGATGGACCAAGTTAAGAGGGTTTACTACATTCGGAGCCCACTCATGCACCAGTGGCCAGTCCTGCACCCTAGCATTAGGGCTTCCTGTTTCCAACAAATCGAGCACTCACTCTCTCATTATTTAAATGCAACTAAGCACAAGGAAACCACCACCGGATAACGATTGCTAAAATTTGCAAAAAGCTTTTTTAATTAACTAACCGTTCACTCTCGATACTGCAACTCATACTTTCATAAACTGAATAAAAAACTGCACAAAGGTGAGAGAGAGAGGGAGAGGGTTTTCGGCTTTTTGCTGCGAAAAGGGTATTTACATAGACGATATACCTCGTTGTGGAGAACTTGAGGAGAGGCAGGAGGCCAAGTGAGTCTATTTCGATCTGAGCCGCGGCGGGAGTCGTAGAGTTCCAGGGGAGACAGCGAAGGAGAGAGTATGAGCAGCGGAGGGAGTACTACCAACGGTAATGGGAAGGGTAATAATGGGGTTCCGTCGATCCCGGCGGCGTCGAGGAAGATAGTTCAGAGCTTAAAGGAGATTGTAAACTACCCCGAACATGAGATCTATGCCATGCTCAAGGAATGTAACATGGACCCTAACGATACCATTCACAGGCTACTCTCCCAAGGTTTATCGCAAAACCCTGTTCTTTATTTTTTTCTTTTTCTTTCTCAGTTCCTTTTTTTTTTGTTTATGTTATCTTGGTGTAAGAATTTTTCCTTAGTTTAGTCTGTTTAGTTTCCCATGACTTTCTTTTCTGGTTATTTAACTTGCAAAATTGGGATTATTTTCTTGGTTATCTATCTTGTTTCATTCTCTCATGGGTAGTGCTTCCCTGCAAGTTTTGTTGCTTTATCTGGGTTTTGGATATTTTGGAAAGCGAAGGGACCTTTCTTGCACTTGGTTGAACTTCTTGGATTTTTTTCCCTCATTTGTTTCTTTCACTTTTTTTTTTGTTGATATTCTGAAGGGAATCTTATTAGTATTTGGCTGGACCAAGACAAGTTGGATGGTCAATTGCATGGGACTTTTCTTTTTATTAGTTGCTTCTTTATTCGAATCTCACAGGTTATGTCTTTTCCTCTTTTCCTTCGCTTGAGCTTTGACCTGCACAGGGTTTTTTTTTTTTATGTATATAGTGGTCTCTTGTTGAACACCTTTTAGCTGAAGAGTTGGTTCTGATGTGTTCATGTAATTCTTTCCTCATATCCTGATCCTCTTCCCCGTTCTTGGCTTCAGGAAGTGAAGCAAATGACTCTGTTGTCGTGAAAAGATTGGATTTGGGCAGATATAAGTTCTGCTTGTGTATATGGTTATTGTTAATACCTTTTTCTTTTTCTGACTTCACAATTTGTCAAAAACTATTATGCGTTGCATTATATAGAGTTAGAGTGGTTAGACATGGATGTGTTTTTCGTTCAATGAGGATGATGATAAGTAAAGTGGGTGTCTTAGGAATGTACGTTTTTCAAAATCTATTGGTATCCAGCATTTATTTTCTTTTGCAGTCTTGATTAAGTAGAGGAAAGGTGCTAAATTAGCTATGCATTGTGATGGCTTTTTGGTTCCCCGGCTACTCTGCTAGATTTATGATTTGTTTTTGCTATGTAACATTTCTTTGTTTGGTTCTCTACCTTGCCATTTTTTATTCATATAAGATATGTACATATACTGCTTCCTTTTGATGTTTGACCTAATATGGGGGTGCAACTTGGGTTGGTTGGGTTGAGCAATTGTTAAATTTTGAATGGCTTGAAACCTACACCTGAGCCTGATATAGTTGAAAAACTTCAAATTGGGCGACCTGATTTCTAACCCTATCTAGTGGGCTTTAATGAATTATCATAAATTAACTGTGTTCAAAAGGTTAGGACCTTATCCAGTCTACCCCTCTCAACTCCCAAGACCCCAGATAATTGGGGGACCAACATTGGACAATGGCGTTTTCTTTTTTCTTTTTTTTTTTTTTTTTTTAAATGCCCCAAATAGTTGGTGTTAAAACATTCATAAAAAAAATAGTTAGTGTTAAGGCTGAGTTGAATAACTAAGGAGCCGTTTGGAAAATCTTTTTGGAAGATCTTTTGGTAGCTTTGATAGTCAAAAGACGCATTGAAGTCCGTTTGGTTAAGGTGTGTCTTTCCGCGCGAAGATGAATAGAAAAAAAAAACGCAAAAGGTCCATTTGGAGCTTCCCGAAAATCGCCTGTTTTGGGCTTGTCATGTCTTTTTGGCGCATCGGCTTTCGGCAGCTAGATCTACCGCAAACCAAATGGGAAAAGACTGAATCACGGTCTGCCTAGCTTGTAAATAGCCGACAGATTGTGCGGAAAGCCGTGACAAATGAGGCCTTAAATACGGAGGAATAAAGAGGCAACACATAAGAGTATTGGAATTCTATATTTCTATTACATCCTTTTAGAAGTTGAGAAAAAATGTTTTCTAGGTTACAAATTTACAATGGAAAAGTTGAGTTTGAATGCAATAAGCTTCTAAAGTCATCAGTGTCATTGAGATGACTAGTTAGAGGGGGCAATATTATGATGCCTTATTCTCACTATCATTTTTTTTTTCTTGGTGAAGTTTATTCTTACTTTCTGTTATTGAATAGGGTTCCTTTGAAGTCTTTGCTTATTAAACAGTGTCTTCGCTGGCTTGGGTGGGTGCCAGCTGGCTCAGTTGGTAAAGTCTCTTGCTGGTTGTAGCAGAGACTTGGGATCAAATCCCACCTGCACCAGGGTTTTGAGGGGGGGGCGTTATGGGTCTAGGGGATGGGCTACCCCCTCGTTGTGTGGTCCCAAGAACCAAAAGAACTTTCGAAAAGAAGTGCCTTAGCTGCTTTACCCATTTATTTCTCCCTCTTTTTCCCAATTCCATTCTGCGTGGCTGAGCTCCTAGAAAGAAAAATGAGGTACTTTTTATCGGAAAGGATGGCAGGATGAAGATAGAATCTATTTGGTGAATTGGAAAAAGGTTTGATGCCCCAAGAAGGAGGGTGGTTTAGGGGTGAGGAAACTGAAGAAGGTGGTTACTGCTGCCCTTTTGGGAAAATGTTTTCGGCATTTTAATGAACAACATAATAGTTTGTAGAGAAGGGTTCGTTATGGCTAAATATTGACTTAGAAACTTGAATGGGGAGCCGGGGCAAGCTAGAGAAGCATATTGCTTGCATTGTGGAGGGGGGGTATAGAGAAAATCAAGCAAAGAGTCAGATTCTGGTGTGATGAATGGTGCTCAAACAGGCCTCTCATGGATCTATTTCCACTCTATTCCTGGCAGCTAGGGACAGGAATGCTCTGGTTTCTGGTTGTTTTCAGTTTGAGAATAACCAAGTACTGTAGAATCCAGTCTTCAGAAGAAATCTAAACGAATGGGAGGTGGATGACCTGATGGAGCCTTTCTGCTATCCAAAAGGTTAACCCAGAGGTGGATCAGTAGTCTTGGAGAAACAAAATTCAATTCTGAGGACTAGTGTCAAATGTTTATGGCCCGACTAGGAATAAAAATAAAGATCTTTGGGTGGAGTTGGAGAGGGGACATGTAGATGGGGTGGGTCCATGGTTGTTGTGAGGAGATTTTAATGTCTGTGGGAGGATGAGTAGAATGAAGGGTGGAAGGGATAGTATGGTTCTAGGGATCATGAGAAGCTGTGGTGGCTTCATAAGAAGAAATGAGTTGGTTGACACAAATGTGGTGGGATCTGAATTCACTTTGTCAAATGGTCAGGAAACACCGATTTTAAGAAGATTTGATAGATTCCTCTTCAATGATGAATGTGAAGTTTGTTTTGAGGACTTGATTCAAGAGACTGTACTTTTCATTGTTTTGGGTCACAAACCAATTATACTAAGAAGCTTTTTGGAGTTTTTGTCGCTGAAGCAATTCAGGTTTGAAAGTATATGGTTGGGGTATCCACACTTGCAATTTGTAGAGGAAAAATGGAATAACTATATTATGTCAGGGAGGGCAGGTTATGTGATGATGAAGACATTACAATTTTTAAGAGAAGATTTGAAAAATTGGAGTTAGCCATCCTTTAATAACTTAGGTGTTTGTCGAAAGAGGTCTTGGAGAAAATGACTAAACTTGATAGTTTGGAGGAAGAGATTGGTTTGTAAGGGAAGGGGGAATGGAGAGGGAAGCCCTAAGGGAGAGTGGAGGTGGCATGAAGGCAAAAATCAAGAGTGCCATGGTTAAAATAGGAGGATAAAAATACATCTTTCTTCTAAACGATGGCAAAAGAAAGGAGGAGAAGGAATCAAATTTTAAGATTAGAAATTGGTGATAGATTGATGGTTGATCAGAGAGAGACCATAGAAGAAATTAGAAGTTTGTATGTTAATTTCCTTAAGTCTACCCAAAGAAGAGTGTGCCTCTTGGGTGTTATGGAGTTTAACAATATTGAGGTATTTCGGAAGGATTAGTTGGAAAGGGAAGTTTGAAGAAGATGAAGCTTGGGTGGTTGTTAAGAGGATGAGGGGGATCAACCCGTTAAGCTGCATTTTCCAGACCTCTACTCCCTATCAAACCTTAAGGCTGAACTTGTTTGCTAGGTTTGGTGTTCCTCAAAAAGTGGGGTAAATTGGGATCTTGGCTTTAGGAGAGGTTTAAGAGATATTGAGTGCAATTCCATCGTTCATCTACTCTCACTTTTGGAAAAGGTGTTACTTGGATCTATCTGCCTTGGACAAAAGAGTTTGGCATCCAATATTCCAACCCCCAATGGTTTGTTTACCTGTGCCTCATTTTCTAATCAACTAACCCTTTCTGACTCTATGGGAGTGACTTTCCTTGTGAAAGAAATCTGGTGCAAACCAATCCCTCCTAAAGTTCAAGCTCTTTGTTAGGAAGTGTTTTTAGGAAGTTTAACCCTTGTGATGTGCTACAGCAAAGAAGGCCAAATAAGTGCCTCTCTCCCCTTGTATGGATCTTATGCAAGGCTGGTGGTGAAACCCTCCCTCACTTATATCTTGCTCTTGTTTCTTGTATTTGGGAATACTTCTGCTCTCTTTGGTTGTAGATGGTCTCCTCCACAGGGCGTAGTAGCGGATTTGTTCAGCTCAAATTTCCTAAGGCAACAGGAAAAAGGGGAAGATGTATGTGGAAGATGGTAAGAGCAGCTTTGGTATGGTATTTGGGAAGAAAGAAACCAAATCATTTTCAAGGAAAAATTCAAGTCAAGGGAAGAAGTGATTGAAATCATAAAGATCAGAACTGCACGTTGGGTTAAACCTTGGACCTCTTTAGAAACATATCTACAGATGATATACTAAGGAATTGGAGGGAAGCGGCACAATCAGAAATGCACAGAGAAAAGGCAAGAATGAATTGGAAACCACTGGGATCAGATAAGCTAAAGTTGAACTTTGATGGAAGCTCCTTTGGCAACCTGAGGAGGGCTGGAATAGGAAGAATTATTCAGAATCATCAATGAGAAGTAGTGGCGCTATTCTGTGGACCAATTGGGTTTGAAGACTCAATTCAAGCTGAAACTCAGGCTCTCCTACAAGGTTTGAAACTTGCTGAGCATATGGGGGTAAGAGAGCTGGATATTGAAGGGGATTCACTATTAGTTATGAATTGGGCAAAACATTGACTTACCACCTTGGAGGCTTAGGTTCATCTTCAGAAA